ATAAAGGAATGAAGGAAGGGAGGGAAGGGAAAGGATGAAAAGAGTAAATGTAAAAATAGGGGTAAAAGGAATAGACATTAACCATGGTTAACCCTGGGTGAAATGAATATAAATGACCTTTATTTTCTTCATTTTGATTAGCTGTATTTCTTAAATTTTCTCATTGTGTGTTTTCCATTGCCCAGTTCCCACTATAAATGCTTTAAGGGAAAATAATTTCCCAGCCTCCAAAGCAATGCCAGGTTTGCTAGGGTTACAAAGGTTTAACCTTGAAAGTTCTTATTTTAATTTCTAGTATGCAAATCTTGCCCTCTAGGAATTCATTCTCTTTTGCCTTTGAGTATTATCATTTATTGCACTTAAAGGTGCACCTGAGAAAGAAGCAATTTAATTAGAAAGAAAGAGAGAGGAAGGAAAGAAATGTCCTTACTTAAGCCATCAACACATTTTGAAAAATAAAAAATGACAAGATAAAATATTAAGAAAAGTAAGCATTGCCCAATCCAAGCATATTTAAATTCTGTAATATTAGAAGCCACCTACTATTCACTGGATAGATAAATCAACTTTTCAATCAAAGTGGCTTATTTTACAGATGAATTCCCTGACTCTATAAACTTTCCCATCACTTAAACATTTCACTAAATCCTCCTTCCATGAGGAACTTTCCAGATTGGTCAGAAAAAAAAATGTGACAATACTATCTTTTTTCCCTTTTGAACAATATCATTTTTTTCTCTAACTCTAATAGACTGTATCAAGGAGGAACACTTTTTGGCTGCTAGTAACAGGAAACTGTATTTAAATCTGCACTTAAATCACAGGAATATATTACCTCACTCAACCAGTAGTCTGGAGGTAGATGGTTCCAGGGTTCTTTCAGGGGCTTATCGATATCATCAAGACCCAGACACTTCTCACACTCCCATGCCATCATCCTTGGCATGTTGGTTTTTATTCCCGTGCCTGTTGCCTCAGTTTTGCAAAATGGCTGCTGCAACACCAGACATTACATCCTCATGCTATGCTTAAATGTAAGAATCAAGGGCATAGCAAAAGATGGTCTTCTCTCAGAAGGCTCTGTTCTTTATCCAGGGAAGAAACATTTCCAGAAGTCTTCCTTATGGCCCCAAAAGTCAGAACTGGATCATACGGGTACTCCTAGTTACAAGGGAGGCTGTGAAAGTATCTCCTTTTTAAGCGCTCCTCCTTGATCCAGTATCTTCATCTGTAATGGGATATCACTAGAATGACTTGTCCTGTCCTCCCCTCCCAGGGGGTGGCCTGCCTCTCTTCCAGTCCTGGTGCTCTGACTGGAAGTTTACTCTCTAAAACTAATTGCAATAAATACGTGAAGTTGTCTCACTTCCAAATACACACTGTTGTGCCTATCACTTAAGAATCCAAGAATGCTAAATTTAGAAATTAAAGATATAAAGTATTCATATTTTATCGTAGTTCAGGCATTGAAATACTCTATAAAAATTTCTTTCCACTAATTCTACATTGTAAGTTATTTGAGGTAGTCATCATGTCTTTCACTATTTTTATGCTTCAGAAAGTCCTCAGAACAAAGATGCTCAGATGTCAGTTGCTCTATACCCACTCCTTAAGGGGAGTTATTCATGACCTAAAGGAACATCAAAATAGTGTTTTGAAAAGGAAGAGCATCCTGGAAGATGAAGCAGTTTGTACCTCTGCTTTCATTAGTGAAAATGACCTTATGCCAATGCCTTTCTACCCAACCAATAAAAAGTACACATATGTTCCCAGGAGCAAAAAGCCCCCTGAACCCTTGCGGAAATCACTGGTTCACTTCCCCTAGTGGCTCAGGGCTGGATTTGTACTCCCCAGGTGGAGTGCCTGTCCACTGGACTTCCAGAGCTGAGGGAAGGAAATCCACATCCTCACTTATTTTAAGAGACCAAGACTGTCAGGGGGCGGTCTAACGTGCTAGTGATCACCGTGGGAGCTGGATCAGACCTCCTGGGTTCAAATCCGACTCTGTTAACCAGGCGTGCAACTTTGAGCAAGCATTTAGCTTTCAGCGCTAGGGTCTCCTCGCCCATCAAGTGAGGAAAACAACAGCACCTACGTCCTAGGGCTCCTGCGAGGAGTAGACGAGTTAACCCCCAGAAAGCGCTGGAAACAGCGCCTGGCTGGCACACAGCGAACCGTTAATATTCCCCCCTTTCAACTTAGAGTGCCTGCAACTCTGCAACATTTTGCCTGGATATGAAACAGCTCCTGGGAATTACAAAACTGGAATCCTGGGAGCTGAGTGGCCATGGCTAGGGACCCGGAGAGGAAGGGAGAAAGGAAAACGGGGCAGGGGCAGAGAGAGAGCTGGGGCAACATTTACGCAGCGGCGCCCACCTACATACAGCCTCGGTCACCTGGTCTACCGTCTCCTCTACCGTTTCTTCTTGGAGAAGGAGTCGGACCGGCGAGCGGCGCAGCACGGCGTTTCTCCAATCAGACACCCCAGGCTGGCGCCACGTACGCGACCTGATCCAATCTCGTCCCCAGGAGGGCGGGAACGCGAAGTTCCTACCTGCTCCTGTGGCAGCTGTGGCCGCCTCCTCGGTTGTTTGTTGTTGGGTTTTTTTGTTGTTTTTTTTTCCCCCCATCTGACCCGGGGTTCTGGTTTCTCGAATCACTTGGCGAATAACCAGCAGGTGGGCAGATAGATCTCTTTTCCAGTGCAGAGGACCGACGTGTAGGCAGGTTCAATGCAGCAGAGTGAGCAGCCGAGGTCCCATCTCCCCGCGGCTGCCGGGAAGAGGCGCTAGCAGGGAAGAGGGACGCGCGCGAGAATGAAAGGCTTACTAACCCGCAGAGCCTGCCTGGGTACTTACCTGGGGCAGTGAGCCTGGCACCTGTTCGCCGGGCGCCCTCCGGCCGGAGCCGAACTCGCCGCGAGCCCAGAACTGCCGCCACGCTGCGGCGGGCAGAAGCTGGAGGCGCCCGGGGAGACCAACAACAGCAATCGGCTTAGCTGGACTGCAGAGATTTCGGCTGACACACCTTCCAGAAAGAAGCCCGACCTCCCCAAGACTGCGCGGGAGGGACGCTGCGCCCGGCTTCCAGGTTGTCCCAAGTGCACCCCCTCCGTTCTCTTGGAGGCGAGGGCGACGCGGAGTCGTGGGATCCTGGGAAGCCCGAACAGGTGAGCGATTAAGATTATTCTGCGTCCGCCGAAACAGAGCCCATTCCCGGGAAATTGCGAGCCGCAGGCGCTCCGCGTACATTTGCGTAATTTGCAGTCTTTTCCTTGCGCAATTAGTGCAAAGCGTTTCCGCGCACACAGTTGGTTGTGAAAAAGAGAATGTAGGGTGGAAGACAGAAGGCAGCCATCAGGACACCCCCACCACCAATGAATAATTTGGGGGTGCTTCTCCGATCTGTACAATAGAGGGAGCAGGATGTTTGCAAACCCAGCTGCAAACTGTGCCTGGTGGTTGTGGGTGCCTTTTTACGGGAAGAACTTTTGGCGGTTTTATCTTCTATGGTTTTCAAGTCGCAGCCCGGGTGTGCCCTCGGGGCGTCTGGGGAGGAGCCGGGGTCCAGGTTTCTGCTGCGGAGGCCGCCGCGCCGCCTCGCGTAGGCGCTCCAACTTTCCCAGCGGTTCCGGGAGCGGAGCCTCCAACAACAAACACCTCTGAAGTTTCGCTCCTCGGCGCGCCGGCAAATCCCGGGAGCGCCAGGCGCGTGGGATGGGAAGGAGCCCAGAGGAAACCTGGAACTGCTCCGCGGCACAAGCGAATCCTGCGCATTCGTAGAGTTAGCACCCATAGACCCAGCACAGAAAGTGCTCACAGGACACTCGCTTCCGATATTAGCACCTTCAGGGTCAAGAAACAGCCTTTTCGCTCCGCAGAGCGCTGTTTTAAAAAGTTGGGGAGAAGCCCAACGGTTTGGAGTTCCTGGTTGCGCACAGCGTCTTTCCTCTCTGGAGGGAGGAATTGCGGAAAAAAAAAAAAACAATCAAACAGAAATCTTCCATTTGTAACTAAAAATCTCAAGAGTTGCCTGGTACAAATAGGCTCGGTGCATATTTTAATACAGAACTAAGAGAAGAGGACATTTGGCGCTTGGCCTCATCTCAACCATCCGCCGGGGGTGGCTTCAAAGAGACGTAAGATTGGTCTCTGGGGAATAAAAGGAAGCGTGGGATGGCAGTTTTCAAGGGAAGTTAAGTCTAGACATGCTTCTCTGAAAGCGACAAGGCAGAAGTTCTGTCAAAAGCAGAATTTAAAAGAAACAAAAAACACCGTGAGCTTGTCCCTCGCTCTTATTGGCGTGTAAATTCCCCCTGAAAAATCACATGGAAAAGGGTCATGTGACAGAAGTCTATGGAAAAAAGCCTTTGAGGGAAATTTCGGAACTGTTGACAGGGGTCTCATATTCAGTGCTCACCAATAGGGGGGACGTGCTCGCTCCCGGGCGCCCTATTCCCAGGTGCTCATCGAAGAGGAGGCCCCTCTGTGCCAAGTGGGTCACCTTTGGGCGTCCCTCTACAGTCGGTAAAGGTGACGGGACAGGCCAGCTTCCCTCTCGAGCCGGGTTCATTCAGATGCCGGGGAAACTCCTCTGGGGGCCCGGGACGCGCGGACCACCGCCCCCGCCGGGGAGGCCAGGCAAGGTTTGAGGCGGGGGAGTGCCAAGCTGTCTGGAGACCAGACGGTGGCGCCCTGGGGGCCACTCACCCGCCTTCGCCCTCTGGGGCGCAACGGGGCTCTCGGAGGGCGGCGCAGCTCCGGGCGCACGGCTGCGGGCTCTCGGACCCCGCGGATCGCGTGCCGGGCGGGGCGAGGGGAGGAAGTGCGGTTGGGGGCACGTGACTTAGACAAACCCCCCCCCCCCCCCCCCGTAACTAAGTTCTGTTTGCTTCCACCCGCACAGGCGGCTGCCTAGGCTCCCACCCCGCAGACCGCCCGCCCCACCGGAGAGCGGGCCCTTCCCCACCCGCCGCGCCCCGGACCCCCGGCCGGCCGGCCATGGCCGACAGCGGCGACACGGGCAGCTCCGGGCCCTGGTGGAAATCGCTAACCAACAGCAGGAAGAAAAGCAAGGAAGCCGCGGTAGGGGCGCAGCCTCCCGCGCAAGCCGCCCCCGGGGAGCCCGCGCCGCCCGCGCCGCCCAGCCCCGACTGGACTAGCAGCTCCCAGGAGAATCAGCACCCCAATCTCCTCGGGGGGACCGGCGAGACCCACAAGCCAGACAAGTTGTGCGGGGAGAAATCGGGCTGCAGCCGCCGCAATTTGAAGATCTCGCGCTCCGGCCGCTTTAAAGAGAAGAGGAAAGTGCGCGCCACTCTGCTCCCTGAAGGAGTCAGGTCCCCGGAGGAGGCGGACTTCCCTGGCGACCCGCACGGCGACACGCAATAGCCAGAGCGCTCCAGGACTGTGTCTCTTCCCACCACTCCCCCCTACCCCCAGTTCCAAACCCGAGATTTCTGGCCCGCCCCAATACCCGGTGTCTCATCCCAACTTGAGAGTATTCACACAAGGCCTCCACGGTTTTATTTTCCTAGAAATCGAAGTGTCCACTGAGTTTTCAATATTTCATGACACAAGGAGTCATTGAGTATTTATCTGTGCGAAGAGAAGATACCTGCCACGGAGGAAGTTGGCATAATTATTTTTTTCCCCGAAAAGTTCTCCCGTGGCCTCCACCCCTTGTGCCACCTGGGGAGTGAGAAGGGTACTTCTCTGAGTTGGTACCCCAGCTGGGACTGCACAGCCCCTCAAATGAGGAGGCCGTGCTCTGATTCAGGACTTGCTATTGGAAAGCAAATTAACGCCAGAGAAATGCACTTTAGACGTACTTCGGTAGACTCAGACCTTAAGTGAAGGGACAAGAGAGGGCAGGAAACTTTAGGTAGAAGCATTTTTAAGTAAGGCACGATTGCTTTTAATGTTGAACTACAAAACCGTACTGCCTATTTTAGTGTGGACTATTAAAATTGTTGCACTGTAAAACTTAAGGTGACTTTTGTGTTTTTTCCATTGCAAGACTGAAGTCCATCATACTTAAAAGCAGGCATGCAAAAGCCAAAGTGACAGAGTTAATCATTTGCCACACAACCTAACAGCTACTCTCGGCAAGCTACAGGGAGGCGAACATTTCTGAAAACCAGTAACACCCAGGCTGGAACCAGTTGACCCAATATCTCTATTTACTAACTAAATTTGAGGAAGGGAGGGAGCAGTACTAAATAGTTACTCCTAAATTCTCTTTGTTACTTCATACAGTAGAGTAGCTCACAACGCCAGTAATAATTCTTTTTACTGTCCATCGTTAACCTTACTAACCATTGTCTGAAAACACTTACTCAGACGACTGAACTCTTTGTTTGTGCAAAGCTCACTTCTTTTCCCACCCCTTTGCTTCAAAAGCTTATTTCTTTAGTCTGACTTATGCATTTATCTGGTTTCAAAGCCTTTAGGTGTACTAATCTGAAGATTCTGAACAAAAATCTACCTGTTTGCTTTTGTTATGAACTTCAAGAAAAGGAGTAAATGAATACCACTTGCTTTCAGCAAATTACAAGAGAGTTATTGTAGTTGTTAAGGGCCACTGGGATCATTCCCACCACAATTCAGTTCATTTATAACAATCCAGAAATACATAGCAAGGAAATTGTAGTGGTCAAAGTATGTATGTGTATATGTGTGTGTAAATATATATGTGTATACATATATATATGTAATTATCTAAACCATATATACATATGGTTTAGATAATTATAAGCAAGAACTTGATTGGAGCTTCTGCATGTGTTATATAGAAAGGGGCAGGTTTTTGTTTCTCTCAAATTTATAAATTTATAAATTTATAAAATAGCAAAACGTTCTTTGGCTGAAGAGATTGAACAAAGAAACTTGATGAAAATAGTTAAAATGCACTTAAATTAGTGAATTAAGTTTGGGTACCAGCACAATAATAGAGTTTACCATTTGATACATGATTTCCACATACCAAAGGCTTAATCCAAAGGAAATTGTTCATATGAGGATTATGAACTATGAACACCTTACGTTAAAAGAGAAAATATATGAGCTTTTTTTTTTTTTAATCATGAAAAGACTTATTTTTGTTGTGTATTTAGAACTGGGAATACGTGACCAAAGTCTCATCAGTGTGAGCTTCCGGGATGAGGAAGACTTTATATTTAGTTTTAAGTGGGCCTCCCATCTTTAGACTCTGATGAAGAAGAGGGAGAGGAGAACATGCTGGAGAAGTTCATGGTAAGGAAGGGACTGAAGCCTGGAAGATCACCAGGAGTAAAGCAAGCAGAAGCTGCCAAATAAGGCTTTGGAACACCTTCGTAAGGCATTTTTATTCCACTTTGTAGAAAGTAATCAAAATTAGGGTGGATAACTACCCACAATAATTTTCCCCTCCCCTCCCAGGAGGACCAATAGATTAGGACTGTACCCATTTACAAAATCAAGCCTGCAATTGCATAATTTTAAAATTTTACACTAACTCTTTCATTCATGGTTTTATTGTTTTAGAAAACATTTTTTTTTTCTTAAAAATCCCTTTCAATTCACAAAGCATTGGCATTTTCCCAGGTTCTATATCTTGTTTGGGGGGATCGCATCCAAGTCTATAACTGCTGCAGATAATCCATAGCAGACATATAGCAGTGGAACTTATTCACATGACATCTTTACCTCACTGTTCTGGAAGAATTGAAAACCATGCTAATGGCAATTATGACAGAGAGTGCAATACACAATCTGCAATTGAGGTTTGTAATTACACCGTTTTAAAGCAGTCCTAATTATGCAGTGGGAGGAATGCACTGATTTAATCCCAACTCAGTGAAATCAGAAACCAAGCAAAATTGGTGGGATGAAAAGATCATGGGTAGGATGAGATAATTTGACAGTGTCTTGCTGGGATTTATATGCTTTACAGATGATTAATTACATTCTCATACTATGTATACAGATTTAAGTTTTTTAAACCTCAAGATAATTTATAGTAAATCAAGGGAAACTGTTGAATTAAATTTGGAGTTAATTAGATTAGAGACTTTTGCTTAAACCGCCTTACAAATGAAATTTCACCCACAAGTTTGGAAACCATTAAAGAAATTTTAATACCATGCTTCCAAATGATATGGGGAGAAACAGGACAAAAATCTAGGTGTGTGTTGGCTAAATGCTTTTATAACCATGATAATTATATACACAGGGTAGTTTTCACTTCTGTGTCTCTCCTTGCTAAGCAGTGACTCGTATCACAGTCACCTGAACGTCCCTTTTTGTTCATACTGCCGTTGTTCACATTGTTCATCCCATTGTGATTTGCATTTCAAGAGCAGAGACTCTGTTTTGTGCATGCAGTGAGGACATTCTGCTTCAGTATAACACTGGGAAGTACTTTTTTTGCTTTGAAATATAATGTGAACTCAGCAAGCCTGATATTGCCACATCCTTAGAAAGAAACTATAAACCTAATGAACAGTAGCACTGGCTAAAGCTTTGTCAGAAATAGTTCTCCTGAGGGATGCCTGGGTGGCTCAGTTGATTAAGTGTCTGCCTCCCGCTTGGGTCATGATCCCAGGGTCCTGGGATCGAGTCCCAAGTTGGGCTCCCTGCTCAGAGGGGAGCCTGCTTCTCCATCTGCCTGTCACTTCCCCTGCTTGTGTGTACTCTCTCTCTCTCTCTGACAAATTAATAAAATCTATAAAAGAAATAGTTCTTCCAAGATGCTCAGAGGAAAATTTCGGTGCCTTCAAATAAACAAATAATAAAAATGAGCAGAAAGAATTTCAAATAAAAAGTGAATCAGAAAGGAATAAGTAGAAGAGTGGGATAATAATATCCAGTGACCACAGGACACTTTTTATGAGGAAAAGAGAGAAAGAGTATTATTTTCCCTAGCTGAGTCAGGTCAGCCAGACATCAGAAACTAACACACAAAAAGCTGGCCTGATAGATACAGCAAAGGAAACTAATCTTTTAAAAGTCTATTTGATTCATGGAGCATTTTATTATAATCATACAGAAATGTAGGAGATTCTTTCTTGGGAATAAGCTCAAGTTTATCTCCATGGCAAGTAGAAAGTGGGACAAGAGATATTTTATACCATTTGATTATCAACACACAAGTACCTGAGACTAGAAACAAGTATGCAGCCCCGGGCAAACTTTGTCATTGATAAGCCGGCTGTCCATTAGGCATCATTCTTCTCAGCTCTTCTCTGTAGTCCCCCACCCCATACTCTCTTAGCCTCCCAGCCATTGCACGTGCATTCCAGTTAGGCTGGGGGTCATAGAAGAGGGGGTGCCAGGAGGTATAGGGCCTTCTCCGGCCACCTGCAGGCACACCATGTAGACACAGCCACTTTGTCAAAAGATGGCCCTGCAGTTTGGGAATATGGGAAAGATAGCATTCATGATGAGAGAAGATTATTACTAAGGAGATAGGATATAAGGAAACAAAGCAGGCCTTCCCTAGCAGAGGACAGCTGACCATTTGTATAGAAATGGGAACAGCTATAGACCACAATAAATAAGACAGAGGATATAAGCGATCCTTCCACGTATTCAAGCCAAGGAATTCAGCCCTACTTCCAAACGGAATTGTGCTACAGACAACAAAATCATGGACCGGTCATTACCATGTCAGAGTTGTTGGAAAACCTCATGCGGTAAAAAAGACCCATGAGGAAGTGGTTTTATCTGAGATGTGTAACAAGATTATTACCCATGAGACAGAAATTTCTGGCCCTAAAACTAGAGAGAATCATGTTGAAGAAGCTGAAGGTCTCTGTCCATGAGAGGAGCCACTGATTGACCTGTCTGTTAAGTAGGGAATATGGGGCCCATCTCGGACCTCCTCATGCCCTTTTTGAAGGGATTTTCCTTGAGTTAAAATGCCCTGGATTATTAATTTCTTTCTAGTTCCAGTCCACAAGTATAACTGCTGATTCATACCCTACAAGAATGGCAGCAAAAAGTTCCCACACAGTTTTCCAACTTAGTTGTCTCTCCGACTCGTTCTTGAGTCTTTGACAATCTGATGTCAGTTTATTATTCTGTAAAATGATGGGATGGAGGCCATATTCCAGCTTTAAAACCCTCTGAGTATTCTGCTATTTTGAGCAGCTGGTTGTAAAACTAGTTCATATAATGCTCGTTGTTTACTATAAAACACAAAGGCACCACCTGTTCAGTGCTGATGGTCAGGTGGGAGCCAGGGAGAATAATAAACGATGATAAGGCTACTGCCTCATGTCATCATCTGGCCCAGTAGTTGGGGTGATTCTGCTCTACAGGAATATCAAGGCTCAGTATCATGTTAGAATCAAATATTTAACAGTTTGTCCTGTTACCTCAGCTTAGCATATTCTTTGCCCACCACCTGCCTGACAAAGCCTCAATCTACCTTCAAGATTCAAGAGTCTCCCTCAGGGTAACTGCCAGGGACCTCCTTCTCCCAAAACACAGCTCCTGGAACATCTGTGAGCCTGTGTTACCCACCACCGCTGACCATATTATGTGTATGTGATCATGTGTCTCTCTGTCCCTTAGTCAGGGAGCTCAGGGAAATTCAAGAGGCGAGGCAATGCTTGTTCTTCATTCCCCTGCGTGAACTCCTGGATTATCTACTAGGACATGGACCTCCGGGTAGGCAGCATGTGCAACTAGCATGTAGCTCTTGGTAGGGCCATAATTTTTTCTCCTCTAAGGAGGCAGGCTATGTCTGGCTGGTAGAGGAATATCTGAGGGTTGTGAATTGGTCAGGGTCTGATCAGGAGAGAGAAAACGGAGTGATTTGAACAGGGAGCATTTAATATGAAAAATTATTACCCATAACAGGGATGGCTAATAAGAAGTAATGAGAGATTGGCCAGTAAGGAGTAAAGAGAACCCCCAAAAATACAGGAATAAAGATAAAGGACAGCCACCACCTG